GTGGAATTCTGTCGGTTAAATTAGGCTATGTTAGAATGCCACTGTGTATGTATTATTGGGACTGTGTCACTTCCTATTACTGTGCATGTTTGAAATAAAAGTGCATACATGTAAGTACATACATTCTTACCTACATATGCACAACTATATATGAAGATATCTAGACACAGGCTGAAAGGAAAGAGAATACTGTTCCTGGAAGAGGGACCAGTACGGGCAGAATCTTGTGGTGGCAGGGAACATGGCAAATACTAAAAACTGATGTAAAAAGAAACCAGAAAATGGGGAACAGAAAGTGAAGTGACTCACATGAGGACATCATCTAGCAAGCAAGAGAATCTAGAGCTCATGTGTATCTGAACACAAATCCCCTGCTTCTCTGATTAAACCACACGGTGCCTATAAGCATGATTTGCTTGACAGTAGACCTAAGTGGAAGCCTTTTACTGCTGCCTTATTTAAACAACTTTGATTTGTCCCGTGGAAACCGGCCTATCTTTGACCCACACTTCGCCTCTGTGATGTGTCAATTTGCTTTAGACAGTTGGTTTAATAAGCTTTTCTGAATGTTATGCGTTCTGACTTGGCAGAAACCTGTAACTGCTGTTGAGACAGGAGGGAAAAGGGCAGGACACAACTGTCAGATAAATGAAGAAGGGGCTCAGCCGTGAGGATGTGATAAAAAATGGCTGGAACTGGCTGAAACCAAGAACACTGAGAACAGTCTGGTCATTGACCCTTAGCTCCTTCCACCCTCATTATAATACTAAAAATCACTCCCCCTTATGCCATGACAGCTCCGGGGCGAACCATAAAAGGCCAAAAAGTGGGCAGTGGCCCAATTCCTGAAGATGCTCACCCTTTCCTGAAAGAGCAAGAATATTCCTCCTGCTCCTTAGCGTATGAAATTACTCAGCTCATTAAAACCAACAACCCCATGTCCTGGTGCCACGCCCACTTTATCTAAGAAGGTCTGCATTCACCCCACTTAATGTTTATCTCTCTAAATAAACTTGCTCTCACTTTACCTTGGCTCGCTCTTGAATTCCTTCCTGTGTGAAGCCAAGGCCCCTGACTTGGTGGTGTGCCCCTTGGTAGTGGACTTGCACGGGTCCTGGGATGTGACATTTCCCCCTCCTGTAACACTGCCGCCACACTGCTGGCATGATGTACAGGTCCTCACAATGGATCTTATCTAAATTGTTGGAGCTTCTTGAGCTTTTTGGATTTTCCCCCCAAAACGTTTTTTCAATGAATGAATGAGTACTGAATACGCAGAGTACTCTCAATGACAAGTGGCTGAAACAGTTGAAAGCTGTAAGTCGGATTTTCCATTTTCTGAACTACCCCTCCCCCTTTAAACCTGGCTCTTACACTACCCAGCTTTCTAGGCAACTTGCCCACTTCCTGGCTCCTCCTCACATTTTGCTGCTTTTGAAATCAGGGGCTACATCTATGAACATCCTGGGATAAAAGAAACGCAGACTCTCTAGGTATTAACTGAATGCTGCAATGAATACACGATCAGAGGATAAGAGTTGTTCTAAGATTCCCTCCTCATGCAACAGAAAACCAATTTACTTAATTGCCTGTGCTTAAGGGTAATGTCATCTTGCATGGCTTACTGTTTCATACTGATGAGAGAATATTGTTACTCATGACACAAGTCAATAAAAAAATTCACAGGCCATGAAACCACATGTTAGAAAAAGAACAGAATTGGCAAGTGACAGGGTTAATTCATGAAATTTCATGTTGCAATATGTGACTTCCGTAGAGATGGCTGACCTTATGTAGAATCTATCAGTAGTGCAGAAGCAGTTAAGTTACATTATAATCTTGAATATTCTTAATTCCAAGATCCTCTTAAAGCAAGCAGCCATCTAGCTCAGTTTTAATTAATGTTTCTTTAAGGATGTTTAATGCATACTAAAATCAAACTACTTTGGGTTTTCAGTCTTTCAACATATATTTCTTTAGCATTAGCTCAGAGGGAGGACATTGTATTGGATTAGATACTATCAAGAATTTAAAATCCAGGAGATAAATGAGACACAGTTATCTACATTTTACAGCAAAGGTAACTAATGTTTCAAATCAAATTCCTTATGGATTAAAGTTGGGACAAGAGCTGGGTTACAGAAGAAGTCTTTCCCCGATGGGATAAGAATCGTTTCTGAAGGTAACGTTCTAGACTTTTCTGCTTTCCCTTGCTTTCTCTCCGAGGAAAGGCAAATGATAAACCCTAAGTGTGGAGAAAAGAGTTGGCTGAGAATACTGGCATATGCCCTCGCCTGTTCTGATAGAAGAAATAAGTGACTTTAAAAAAAACCAAACATTTAAAGCGATAGTGAAAGAAATGTTAATGGGTTGTAGCAATGGGTGAAGTTCTTGAAAGCCTTCCATCAGTGAGAACAACACAGAAAACTAGAACTTTGAAAGTGGAATAAGCTGGATGACAGAAAATAGAGCTGGCGCTGAAAGTGCACTTATTTGTGGCTAGGGATCCAAGTGCTTCTATCCTAGTGGAGTTGGGTGCACCACTCATCCAGCACGTAGATGTGTTCACCCAACCGAAAGCTCTCGTGATGAAAAGCTCTCTATTTTGGGGATTTTTATGGAAGATTCATCACAGAGGCCTCATCCGAGTTAACTCAATCTCCAGCTGCTCTCCTCTTCCTGGAGGATGGGGTAGGATGGGGGGTGCTGAAGCCTCCAGGCTCCTAGCTTGGCTTGGTCATTCCCATGAGCATCCTGAAGCTATCCAGGAGCCCAAAGTGTCACTTCATTAGAACAAAAGATATTTTATCACCCAGGAAACTCCAAGGGTTTTAGGAATGCTCTGCCAGGTACCAGAGGCAGAGACTACTAGAGTCTAATATTTCACAACTAGGCATTTGGATTTGAACATATCTTTTGAAGGGACAACATTCAAGTTCCGAAACCACCCTTTTAAGCTGCACACACTCCTTGTACATTGATAGCCCTATGTATACACATACATACATTTAATAAGAAATATGTATCAAATGCATATAGCAGAGTTGACCATCATGCCACTGTGTCCTTAAGAAGAAAACCCAGACTCTCCTGTGATGCACCACTGACATCTTAGCCAACATGAATGAAGCTAACTGCATGAGTGCAAACAGGCCTACAAGGGAAACTGGCCCTGTGATTCTAGAGTCACAGACATGTGACCAGGTCTGAGGCCTACTGTTAGTCTGTGTGGTCACTGAGTGTCACTTCTTAACAGTTCTCCCCAAGGTGTCCACTTTTCTTTGAAATCTGTAACTCTTGCTCACGTGGAACCATCACTAATGAGAAGACAGAATGGAACAAGAGGAAGTATTTATTTGAGGACTCACAGATCTCAGTTTGAATGTAAGTTCCATCACTAACTAGCTCAGCAACCCTGGGCAAGTTAACAAACTCTACAAATCCTTAGTTTATGCACATGGAAAATGACAATTCTTACCACTAACATCCTGGGCAATTGTAAGGATTAACTAGGATGAAGGGCCTGGCCTGACACATGGGAGGCACTTAGCAAATGTGGCTTCATTCGACTTCATTAACATGTCATGTTGAAAATAACCACTTGCAGAGAATATTTTCCTTCTATGGAATCCTAACAACAAAAATATTGTGCAAAATAATATTTAATATAAACACAGCAAACATCAATTTTAATTAAAATTGTAATTTATAGGTTGAAGTAAATGTGCTCTTTCTGGTAATTACAATAATAAAATTAGATCACAACAGAATCGAAAACCTCGATTCACTCATAGAACAAATATTACTAGAGTATCACATATGTGCCAGATGTTTCTTTAGGGACAATATATCAAAGACATGTGTGAAAAGCATGAGGAAAGCGTCACAACTTACCCCACCAACTTTCTCAAAGTGAGATCCATCTTTCTTAAAATCTGTGAGGGCACCATTGAAGTACCAGGTAAACATGATGTCTAAAATGGGGTCGTGTTGCACCTGACAGGGCAAAATGACACTTTCGCCCACCGATACATCCATGTTAGATGGTGCCAAAGTTATTCTCGTTGGTTCTATTGGGGAAATAACAAAGTTTTAAGCACAACTTCAGCATTTTTTATTTCGATGAACGCAATTTTCACAGATTGTTCATCTAAATTACAGTATTTTAAGTTTGTAGAGATATCTATATGTGTATGTGCATATATACCTCTATATAATTAAAGGCCTTCAAGATTAAAAAAGACATTTTGATGCAGACCCATAACATATTTCATTGGATCCACAAATTCTTGTTAAAAGAATTAGGTTATCTAAATTTATGGGATATATAAGTCTAAAACTTGAAGTCACCTGTAAACAAGAGTTATAATACCACTACAAAATCAATTTCATCTTAGTTTTACTGCATCATGAAATACAGGAGTAGAAATAGAATTTTCACCAACTTTGAATGACTGGAAAGTGCATCACTACCAAAATTTAAACAGACTCAGACTTCTGAAAGACTACATGGAAGACGTTTAGAATAGGTACAATGAGAGGAATGGTAAGTTAGAATGTAAATTGACTTGTTTTTTCCCCCAATGCAAATGTCCACGTGCCCATTTGCTGTAGTTCATCCTTTGTGAGTTAAACTTCTCTTGATTCCTCTTCTCCATTGCTACTCCCCATTTCTTTGCTCCATGTTGCAACAAAGGTCTTCAAAAAAAGTCATTTTTTATGTTGTCTACAGTTTCTCTACTTAATTTCTTCTTTAACTTATTCTTGGCAGGCTTTAGTACCCCCATCCCGTCTGCTTTCATCAAGGTCCTCAGTGATCACTTTGCTGCGAAATACAGTGTTAACATGTTTTGACCTCCTCTTACTTTACTGACCTTTTAGCAGCATCTGCTACCGTTTTTCATTATCTTCTCCTTGGTACACTATCTTTGCTTGGTCTCTGGGACACCAAACTCTCTTCAATTTCTCCTACCATGCAGGACTCTCCTTTTCTGTCTCTTCTTGAGTCCCTCTTCTTTTCCTAAATCTCTCAGTGTTGGACTGTCTCAAGCTCAGTCCTTGATTTTTCATATTCTTTAACTTCACTCACTGTCTTGGTGATGTTACTGAGTCTTCAAGTTAAGTACCTAACCATATGCTAACAGCACCCAAATGTATATATCCATCCTGCATTTCTCTCCCCAAATTCAGATTCATTTATCCAACTAGCTACTTGGCACCTTCACTCAGGTGTTATGACAGACCTTACTGTTCACCATTATTCCTTTCAGAGCACACAGTAGGATTAAATTCTCAATGCTTCTGAACTCAGGTATAGCCAAATGCTATGCTTTGGCCAATGAAATGTAAGTAGAGTGCTATTTGGCACTGGTAGGCAGAAGCCTGGAAGGACTAATGGGCAATTTGACACATCTTCTCTCCTCTTCCATGATGAGGCGCAAGGTGCCAGATGGTAGAGGCACTGGGACACTTCTTTCCTGAATAAAGACAGCAGAGTTGATCCCCCATGGACTTGGAGCATTAGCAAAAAGTAAATCTTTGCTATTTCAATCCACTATCTTGGATTTATTTACTATTGCCAAATACTGTGGTCCGAATTACAGATGGAGGCTAATAAAAACTTTACATGCAGCACACGCAGACAAATCTGACACTCCTCCTCCTCCCAAACCTGTACAACTTCGGCCTTGCCCATCTCAGTTGTTTTGACTGTTATTCTTCCTGTAGCTCACCAAACACCCTGCAGGCATCCCTCTCTTTCTGTCTCTCTGACCTCACATCCAATTTGTTAGCAACTCCTACTGACTATGCCTGCAGAACAGATGCAGAATCATACACCTTCCCAACAACTGCTCTGCTGCCACCCACATTCAGGCCATTAGCACTCCTGCCTGGGTTACTGCGATGGTCTCCTGAGACCGCCCTGCTTCCACCCTTGACTCTCCACAGTCTCTTCTAAACAGAGCAGCCAGAGTAATCCTTTAAAAATGTATTTCCCATCTTTTCACTCCTCTGCTTAAAACTTGGCACCAGCATCTACTTCAGCTAAAACCTGAAGTCCTAATAAGGTCCACGAAACCTCTACATGACTGTCCCCAAGGAATCTATTAACTCCTCCATGTCTGAGAAGTTTTTGTTCACACCTCTCCTTCTCAACAAGGCTGATTCTCATCACTCTGTTTCATGCTTATGTCTCCCATACACTTCTCTGTATTTTCTAATTATTGGCAATTTTTTCCCTCCTAATAGTTTCCTTGCTTTTTATTCCTACTGCTTATTTTGCTTCTGTCTCTGGTAGAAGGTAAACTTCACGTAGGCAGCATCTTTGCCCCTCTGTTTACTGATTAGCCCAAGTACCTGGCACGTGGTAGGTGCTCAATTTCTTTGAATGAATGAATGAACAAAATATATCCACAACTCTAAGTGACTCTTATAGTAGCAAGGATTATTCCATGGGCTTAAACATCTCCAGGAAATAGCAAAGACAAGAAATAAGAAAAAAGTGTACCCAAAAGATGTGACATAAAAGAACAGCATAAGCTAAAAGCAGACCAGCAGCATGTACTATGTGTAATTCTATTGCCCGTTACGCCTGCAGAGGTTTAACTCGTGTGTTCCCTGGTGCACACTGCGGTATATAAAGAAATACCAAGAATCGTCTCTTGACTTTCACTTGTTAAAAATAACACAAGTGTAAATACAAGTCCTACCTTCTTGGCACACTGCATGTTGTGAAAAATATTTTGCTCTGTGATGTTAGGAACATAGCACCCAGTGCATCCCTACATAAGGCAATCTTTAAGAGCTGCACCTACCTGTAACCACCAGGTGTGTTGTGCCATTTGCTTTCCCAAACTGGTTTTCTGCTATGCAGGTATAAATTCCAGCATCAGCTTTGGTCACATTGGTAATTTTGAGTCCTCCATCTTTTAAAAAAGAAATCCTAAAGGAAATACAAATGGGGCTAATAAATGTATAGTCATCACTTTTTTTTCAAAATGCATAGAAAAAAATTAACAGAAGTATTGCCTTAAGCTTCTATTTTTAAGGCAAGATAAACCAGCCCTTAGACTTCTTGGGAATAGAGCAAATTAAAAGAAAACTTGTGCACACATGCACATAGATGACTTAAATAAGACGCTTTACCAATTTATTAATGCTTCTTGACATTTTCACACAGCTTTACTTCACAGCATTACTTAACAGTACACCTGATATGGGGGATGCCTTTATCAAATAACTGTGAAATGTCTTCCAAAAGCACATGGTGAAATAGATTACTCATGGGTTAGCCTTATCAATTTGGAGGAAAAAAAAAAAAGCAGATATGACACTGTTTCCCCTAAATCTGAAACAGCATATGAGAAATAAGAAACTCACTGGCCTCTCATTATGAACCAGGGAGTCACATTTAACCTAGCATAAATCCAAAGTTTGCAACAGAACATACGCATGGTCACCCACGAGCTACAGCAAAGAATCTGGGCAACATAAATGCACATCATATTAGAGTTTCTAAACATACATCAAAAGTACTTAAAGCTTTAGCATCTAACTAATTAACTAAGGGGAATACAAATGAGTGTCTTATATGTGCTAGACGCTATGAGAGTCCTTGAGAGCACTGGGTGAGCAAGAAAGTCCCCACCTTCGTGAAAAGGATGGTCTAGTGAGTGGCATTGACAGTAAATGATTAAGTAGGTAAATACAGTAAGTTCAGATTTTTGAGAAGTAATTAGAAGGATACAGACAAAGTAATACAACAAAAGCAAAGGCTACAGGGAGTGCTTCCATGATGAGGTGCTTCAAAAAAGTTGCCTCTTAGAAAAGGTGCCATTTGAACTGAGAAAGAGTTGTCCTGTCCTCAGTCTGATACAGGAATCGTGACTGCCATTCTTGTCTACTCAGCATTATTTCTCTTTTCTTTGAACTCCTAAAATCTTCATTATTCATACCATGCATTTAATGCTTAGGATGCCTTTTATCTTTTATGGTTCATATCTTTGACAGGTGAGTTTAGCATCTATCTAAATGGATGGTAAACTTCTGAAAATGTTTGCAACTCCATGGTCAGCATGACATGACATGTGTCAATAAATGCCTCCAACTTTTGGGCCGTATGGTAGAGGAGACAGAAAAGATGCTGAGGACATCAGAATAGACTTGGAGGATCTCAACTCAGTCTCTAAATACTATCCTATATGCTACAAGATTTTTAGGTGTGTGTCAAAAATGTGACTACTAGTACAAGTTTATGTATCAAAAATACAGAAGATATGAATTCTATGTTACATGTATATGTGTGAATGTGTGTGTGTGTGTGCATGCGTGCAGGTTTTTCATAGCTTGTGATCCATTCACTTTCACATGCATCCTGGTTATATTTCCTTGAGTGAGAAAGTCGCAGTGGAATGAGAGCTAGCACACAGGGACCTGTTCATGATGCTAGACATAGCTATCCGTGAATGTTAGCTGCTCATGTGTGTGGTTTTTTTTTAACATGTCAAAGTATATTTAAAACACAAGGGTTTGAGAACAATGTCCTAGACAGCTAATAAGAAAACACACCACTGTATTTCAACTTGAGGAACTAAGCTGAAGGGTTAAAAAGTCTAAGAACTTTCCTAGGAAGATGAAAGAAAGGTGTTATGCCTGGTTTCCTTCATGGAACCCTGACTACTTTGTTGGGTGTGAAATGTAATCTGATCACTTTTCACAAATAGATGATCAAAAAAAAAAATCTCTTTAGATCTTACCTTATCAGAGAACAGAGATTTTTCTCTAATCGTGTGTGATGATAAACAAAAGAGGAAAGCCTGCAGAGAGGTGCACATGAATGAGAACTTAGGAGATGAAGACGCTTTTCAGAAACATGGGGAGTTAGTGTAAAGAAACAGAAATCTGATCACTAATCCTGCTCACTCCCTCCTGCCCAGCCTGTGCTTAGACCCTCTTCCCTAGCATCGCACTACCTGGAGGACAAAGCCTGTATCCTAAGCCTTAGCCACATTCTCCCATCAGGACCTTGCCTCTCTAACTACACGAGGTCTCCTGAATTCTACCCTTCGTTTCCTTTTCTCTGATTATACAAGCCTTCTTTTAATTGCTTTTATGCTTCTTCCTATCTTGGGGCCTTTATTAAACCTGTTTTTCTATGTCTACTCAACTTTCAGATTTTGATCACTTCCCTGAACCCCTGGGTTGGATTATGTCTTCCTGAACTGATTATACAACATCGTTGCTTCTGTCATAGCATGTGCCAACTGGCTGATTATGTACCCTATTTTTGCTTGTCTGATAATACTTTTTTCCTCTAGTAAGCTCAGAGACTGTGAACTCTCTGGAAAGGCAGGGAGAGTGTCTGGATAGTGTCTGGATTACTCACCACTATATTCCTAGAGCCTTCAACAGATCCTAGCATAGAGGAGATGCTAAAAAAATTATGCTTGTTGAATGAGTAAATGATCGTACGCCCTAGAGAGTCACTATAGAAGAGATCGGGTTGGTGAAGGAAGGTTGCAAGGCACTTTACAAATTATAAGGAAGTAAATTCAGAAAGTGTGCAGATCACTCTATATTTCCACATGTTTAAATACATATGTACGTTAATATATATGTGGAACAAAGAAAGACGAGGCATTAGAGGACTCGATGAAGAGAATTTAGAAATTCCTAGGATAAGAGGACTGCAAGTACATTTGTACTATTAAGGAAGAAGTCAGTGATGGGGAGGAAACGAAGATAAGGGACAGAGAGAGGAGTGGAGGGAGGGAGGGAAAGAGACTAATAGAGAAAACTGGTTGAGGGAAGTCTCAGAGGAGGAAGGGTACAGACAAGGGCAGAGCTCCTGACCCATTCTGATTGCTAATACTACTTGTAAAATTTTTGGTCCTGATCCCCAAAGAACATAGTCCTTGACCCACAGCATTATTGCTCAGTAAATTTTATCTACCACTACTGTTAAAAAGAAGTGCAGGTTTGCTGGAGGTTTTCATATGTAAAGAAAGCAAGCTGGAAGATGGTAACCAAAGGTCTTGAAGACATTTAAATGGTGAGGCAACCTTACCTGCTCTGCGTTATCAGGTGGAAATAGAATTGGAAACTCCAGGAGGCTGTGCAATCAGCCACTTCTGAGATTAGTAAGCAATAAAACACAGTGAAAATGTCTCTTGCTGACAGAACAAATACTCAGTTTAAGCTCAGAGCTTCTGATCTGGGGGCCACAAAGCAGAAGCGGGCAATTTCAGATATCTTCCCAAGGTATGAATTAGTGTAACAGCTAACCTTTCACTAAAACATAAAACTATTAAGAATGTTGGGAGAACTAGAAATCCTTTAGTGCCTGAAGTTTAATGATTCTAAAAGAGCAGGCCTAACCTCATGACTAAGTTGAGATAAGGCATAAGGCATAAGATAAGTTTCAAAGGCAAAGCTAACACCTCAGGAATCACACAAAGACGCCAAAACAAACATACTGACGCTCAAAGAATGCAAACGCTGTACACTGTAAAATTTTGAGCTAATTGGATACTTTCTTCCTAAATTGGTTCTTCCAGTAAGTTCTAAGATGCCCACAGGGCATTTCACACAACATAAAAATAAACAATATTCAGCAAATGGATGGAGTAATTGTTTCTCAACAGAAAACCTTCAATAACCCATGCTTCCCTACAGAGATCCGAAGTGAAAATTTTATACCACTTCACCATAAATGAAATTGCTTTCTGCACTTTCTGGGAACACGTTCTTCTGCAAATAGGTAGAGCTGAAAATGTAGATAACAATGGGTGACTTTAGTCTTGGCACAAAAAATTACTTGAAGATTTATAGATTAGCATTCAGAAATGTGGTGCTCCATTTTGCTTTGAGAAATGTGCAATTTTAATCACTGTGGCATTTTAAACTCCTCGATTTGTTGTATAATACACCTTTATATGTACCCTTTTACTGGTTTTGCCTTTTGTAGTAAAAGAGGTTAATTATTTCACTTAACTTTGTGCAGTCTATGGTTAGTTTGGGATAAATAACTTAATTGCTCTAAGCTGCTCTAATGGTCTATGCTGTAATTCAGAGATGGCATTGAATTTACAACTCTTTGCTCAGAAAGTAGACTGTTGTCTAGGCAACATTGACCTGTACTGTATGATGACATTTAAGCATCCATAATAACACAGGCTGTGTTTTAGAATGGGGAAGTGTGGAGTATTATGCATGCAAGGTAGAGTTTCTGAAAACATTGTTTTTCCCCTGCCTATGCCCTGAATATCACAGTAATTTATTCAAGTTTGAATTTTAACAAACACACTGCCAACTCTACATTTTCTCAGGAAGCTCATCTCAGTGGAGATGAGATCACATGAGACTGTAATGATTAAACTGTTCTATAGAAAATAACAAGGCTATTTTGGACTTCACTTTCCGAGTACATATTGTAAGAGATGGATGCTCACAATTAGCTGTAAGAAAAAGTACTCACAATGCATATATTACAGGATAAATAATGATGGTGAAGAAAAGCAAATATAAATTGATGAAAATGCATGAGGAAATAAATGTCAGAGACAAAGAGCATGTATTGTATGTTTTCATTTACAAGCAATCGCCCATATGCTTGGTGAAATAACTTCTCCCCCTTGAGTTCAAAGATAACCTACAAATAGTATTTGGGAAAATAATATCAGAATTTTCATTCTTTCAGCTTTATCATTTTGAACTTTCATCTTATAAATTCAACAGTGTTAGCTTAGTGATTTATTGGTTAGAAAATCTCCAAGGAAAAGAGAGGCAGAGTTAGAGAAGATTCAGCAGTTAATTATCATATCTTTGACTAAGCACCAGGCTAATACTGTGTGGCTCCATTATTTTGTTGGACACAGAATACATGAAACAGGCACCTGAGGTCCTAGAGAAATAGGGTGTGGCTCCACTTTACTGCCAAGATAA